CCCAACTGTCCTTCCCTGCCCGCCTGATCTCACCCTCAACTATCCTCCGCTACTGGTCTGATCTTGCCCCCAGCTGCCGTTTCCTTCGGCCTGATCGCCCCTAATTGCCTTTGCCTCAGTCCCACCAACATGGCTTTGTCCAAAAGGAAGTCAAACATCCGGAAGATGACCGGTTGACCCGGTTTAATTAGCGTATTACCCTTTTATTAGTGTAGGGGTGTCGAACTCAATCAGAGAAGGGGCCAAAATCTAAAATCAAGCCTAAATCGCGGGCCGAATGGTTTACTGAACAGTCATAAACTGTCATTGTGATGGAAACGCAGCGGAGTGCAGTGATGACAGCGCGGTGCGGGCCACATTGCAAGGCCTGGCGGGACGGATTTGGCCCGCGGGCCTTGTGTTTGACACATGTGGTGTAGATAGATGTTAGTAATCAGAAAACCTCTTAGGACCGGTGTGTGAGGGACATGTGGCATATTGGGTAGAGACCTTGCCATTTCATTAGTACATGCATAGGTGTTTCCTCTCAAGGTTGTCAGTTTCTCTAAAAATGGACCTAATCTCCTGCCTCATCTAGAATTTAGGGAAGGGGGCTGGCAAAGATCTCACTTTTCAGCATGCAGAGTTTCATTTAACCCCGTTATTTTCAATGAAGGCCTCACTTAGCTGTGTACAATGTCCCCAGCACTAGAGACTTGCTCATTTATTTATTGTCTCCAGACTTCAATTGTAAATCTTCAGTGCACTGTGTGGGGCAGAGATCTGGGAGGTCTTGTTACTCCTGCAAACTTTCAACCATCCTGTTTTTAGTTTCTTACACCCTTGCCATCAGATATATCTCATGCCCTCAGTTCTAAAGCCTGTTAAGGGTTCTTTAGTGTGAATTGGCTTCTTGTCGGCTTCCCTCCCTGCTGGCAGAATGGAAAAACACTTAGCAGAGTGGAGAAAGAGGAAACCCAAGATAGTTACTCCTTGCTATCCACTTTCCATCTTTGAAAAATGTACAAACTTGTCTAATCTGCTCTTCAGACCTTTGTGTCCGGTAGTTCCTTCAGTTTTTATTTCTTAACTCTCATGTCAGGGAGAGTTCAAGAAGATAGAGGTTCAGTCCCCATGTCTAACTGGAAGAGACCCTTACTGCCTTTTTCATTTGCCCTTCTCATTTCACTGTCGGTTTATTATGAGCTTCAAAGGAGGTTCTTTGGTTAAATCACTTCCCAGTTCATTCCTGTTTGTTAGCTTCCGCACACTGACAGGTCTGTCTTTGCTCTGTAACCACCTTGGAAACTCTCCAGCTTCTTTTTTGACAACCAGTTGCCTGTTTTATTGTAGAGGGTACAGTTCTCCCAGACATACAAATGCTGGATTATATTTTATTGCTTTTTTTGTGGGGGGAATTTTTGTAGTTTTTATGTAACAAAGCACACACATATTATTTTGTTTGGGAAATCAGCTTATTCTACTCCCCTTTCTTGGCCTGTGCACTATTATAGTATTTCCTTTGTCTCATACATAATAAAATCATCAAGAGTGTGTTTTGTGGAATAGCAAGAAAGTGATTTATATACTGCAATATATCTTTCTTTCTTATAGAACACAGAGGCCCGGTGCACAAAATTCATGCAGGGGGTGGGGAAGAGGTGGTCCTGGCCTTTACCCTCTTGTTGGGAGTGGGCCTAAACCAGTAGACGACATCCCTCTTGCAATCTAGGACCCCTCGTTCCTTACTGCCCACCTGCTCACTGCTCCTTAGTGCTCAGCTCACTGCTCCTTAGTGCTCAGCTCACTGCTCCTATTGCTCAGCTCACTGCTCCTATTGCTCAGCTCACTGCTCCTATTGCTCAGCTCACTGCTCCTTAGTGCTCAGCTCACTGCTCCTTAGTGCTCAGCTCACTGCTCCTATTGCTCAGCTCACTGCTCCTTAGTGCTGCCTCGGAGGTGGGAGAGGCTCCTGCCACCCCCACTGTGCTTGCCAGCCATGGGCTCAGCTTCTGGCTGAGCAGCGCTCTCCCTGTGGGAGTGCTCCTGTGTTGAGCATCTGCCCCTGGTGGTCAGTGCCACATCATAGTGACTGGTCATTCCGGTCGTCCCAGCGTAATGGTCACTTAGGCTTTTATTATATAGATGATGTACACTGAGTGTCCAGATTATTATCTCTGAATGCATAATAATCTGGCCACTCAGTGTATATACATTAGAGTCCTGGGGCATGAATTCGTGCATGGGTGAGGTCCAGCCAGCCTGGCCAGGGGGAGGGGATATGGGTGGTTAGCCAGCCTGTCTGCTGGTTGAATTCCTGGTCGAGGGGACAGTTTGCATGCTAGCCTTTTATTATATAGGATATACACTAAGTCGCCAGATTATTATGCGTTCAAAGATCATAATAATCTGGCTACTCAGTGTATATAATGCTTGTGGGCTTTATACATGATTTAAGTTAGGCGCCTGGTAATAATGCATTTTCTTTAAGGCCTAATGAAAACATTAGTTTAATAATTTTTGCTTAATTATTATGTTTTCATTAAACTCTTAAGATTAACAATACATGAGCATAGTTGATTCAAGTTTTGCTAACAGTTGACCCTCTCAAACCTTTTATGTTGGTTGGGAATTACTCATTAAGCCCTTTTACAACACTGAAACATAGAAACCAAAGGAAAAAATAGATCTCAAAAGGTTAATAATTTTATTAACAAGGAATAGGATAGGTAGATTAGAGATATGTCACTTTGTGCATGTAGTAGATAAGAGATACTGAACGTTTTTTTTTTTTTTTTTTTGGTTTTTTTTTTGCCTATAAGGACACATGTCTTTCTTTTTTTATATTGTTTTCTGTGGAACTGTATGGTTGACCTGCTTATTGCTTTTTCTGTGGGCTCCAAGTTTGTGTGTGTGTGTGTGTGTGTGTGTGTGTGTGTGTGTGTGTGCAGCAGTGAGGGCAATCGCTATCATTGATTGATTGATTTAATGGTCAGGTGGGCAGAGATATGGCAGGTATTTTAATATCATCTTCTTTTTAGATAGGCTTCCGGTGAAGGTATGTGGTATTGAATCTGCCATGAACATTTCCACTATCTAGGTCCTAATTTCTTCATAGATTAGCCTGGCTGTTACTTCCTCTAAAAGTCTTCCCTGATCACTCCACTTCTCCCAAATAGATTAGATATGTCTGCTATATGTTTATATAGCATCCTGAATGCCTATCTTGCAGTTTATTTATCACCATCCTTCATTAGAGTATAGAGTAGGCCTTCCAAAAGCAGAATGTGTTTGCATACATATTTATTCAAAACACTCAGTTTTTGAATGAAGGAATGAATGGATAAATGACATTGTGTAGCCAAAAATTGCATCTGTCTCATTGCCCACTTTTGGAAACTGTCCTTTAGTTGGTGCTTCCTGCCATTAATTGAAGGGCCAGGTTTTTGGTCTAGAACTCCGTCTTTTAGTAAAAAAAAGAAAAAGCACCAAACAAAAAGTAGGTGATTTATTTGATTGAATAGTACTCACTGAGTATAGTAATATTCTGATGTTAATCTTAGCCTAATGTCTTAATCACCTGAAATCATGCTTTTGTATATTGATAGATTTTTTATAATTAGGGTAGTTTGCATTCATGTATGTGCTGTATATATGTTCTTGCAATGTTTTGCTGTAAAGTCAACATTAGAACTATGAGTTCTGCTCTATTGCTATGATAATGAATGTATGAAGAACTCCTTAAAATTTAAAACAACCTAAATTTGTTCTTCAGCCAGAGAAACCTGCCAACTGTGATTTAGAAAAAAAAAAAAAAAAATAGCAGTTTTATTGAGATATAAAGTTCAATAAAATTCACCCTTTTAAATTTTACAATTCATTGTTTTTTAGTATAGTCACAGCGTTGTGTAACCATCACTACTATGTAATTTATCATCCTCCAAAGGTACACCATACTCATTAGCCCCTCCTCATTTTGCTTTTTAACTATTAATTTGCTTATTCTGTGTATTTCATATAAGGGGGATATTTATACATTTCATACTAGTTGTTAATTTCATACAATATATGGCTTTTTGTGACTGGCTTCTTTCACTTTGTATGATGTTTGAAAGATTTATTTGTGTAGTAACGTACTTCATTCCTTTTTATGGCCAAATAATATTTTGTTATAGCACATTTTGCTTATCCATGCATCAGATGATTGCCATTTGGATTCTTCCTACTTTTTGGCTATTATGGATAATGGTGCTGTGAACATTCATGTACATGTTTTTGTGTTGACATATGTTACTGACTTTACAAATGATTGAGAAATTCAAAATGTTATTCATATATAACATACATACAGAAATGTGAATGTTCACCTCAATGAATATTTACAATGATATTTATTTGTTTACCCATGTAACAAGAACCAAGATCTTGAAAGAAACATTACCTGTATCATTAGGGACTTGTTGATGTTTGCTTCGGTTTAGGTTGCTTCATTTACTTGTATACTCTGGTAGAGCTGAAGGCTTATCTTAACTGTATCTCTGGAACATAAGCTCAGGAGGTACCTGATGTCACAGTAGTGGAGTTGTTGAGATAATGGACTCTAAGGCCTTGGCTGCTTGAGTTCAAATCCTAGCCCTACCACTTATTAGCTTTGAGACTGTGGGCAACTTTACTTAACATCACTCTGCCCAAATTTCCTCATCTGTAAAATGGGGATAAAACTACCTCAGAGGCAGTAATGTAAGTAGAAAATTGCCTGATGATCATACTAAGTACTGTACATGTGTTACATAGTATTATTGTTATGTTTATTGTTATTGTGTATCTCTTCACTAGAATATAAGCCCTTTGTTTGACTGACTTATCACTGTATTCTGAAAGGCTAGCACTGTGCCTGGCACATAATAGGTACTCAATAAATTTTTGAGGAAGGAAGGAAAGGATTTTAAATAATGAGTGGCAGAATTCCTAAATTCTTTCCTGAAACCGCTTTTGACAGCACCCTCTTTCTTTTATAACAGCTTTTGGAGCTATTTGACAGTGAAGACCCCCGGGAACGGGACTACTTAAAAACAGTCTTACACAGAATTTATGGCAAGTTTCTTGGTCTTAGAGCATTTATCCGAAAACAGATTAACAATATTTTTCTAAGGTAAGTGGAGGGAGGGGGGAGAAGGAGAAGCAAAGTTGGTGGTTTTATAGAAGTATTAAGTAAACCTCAAATATTTGAATGTAGTGTACTGACTTTATTTCTCTCTCTCCCTCTCACTCTTTCTCTTTCTTAAAGGTTTGTTTATGAAACAGAACACTTCAATGGTGTAGCTGAACTGCTGGAAATATTAGGAAGGTAAGTACATTTTTATCCAATTGCTAATCTCTGGTGAGTATCATTCTGTGAATTAGGTTCAGGTGGTGCAGGGAAATGCTGACCTAGATCTACTGCTCTATGTACATCTGATACTCTCATTTGTGCTTTAGCGTGCTTCCCAACTGACTCTCCAAAACTCGGTTTCCTGTTCCCCTTGTTCCACATTTAGGCATTGCCAATTCTGCTGAGATGACTGAAAGAGCTAGCAGTTTATTTCCCATTACACAGACAGTACATCTGATTGCAGTCAGACCAGATACCACAAAACATCTTATTCTTGTTAGTTTCTAGACAACCTGCCCTTTGCCAGATTTTTTGAAAGCAAGTTTATAATAAATCAGGAAGAATGCCATGTTCCAGGAACCCGTGGACCCAGGTGTAGTCCTTGAGCAGCTGCTTCCTGGTTTAGTGGAACGAATTGGAAAGAGACAGCTGTTGTGTAGCTTTCTACACTCAAGGGAGACTAATGTAACTGGACAATGTGATTACTTAGTCTCTCCTCCTAATATGAGGAGAAAAACAAGGCCACGTGGTTTTCTCTAACTTTCTGGACTGGGCTCTAGGGTATTCTTGGTCTGAGCAGATATATCAGGGACAGGAAAGAATGTTATCTAGAAATGGAAAGGGTCATAAGTGAGCAAGGCAGGCAATTATTTAGGGAAGGAAAAGAGGGAGGAAGAATAAAGAGTTGTTGATACAAAAGCTTTGGGGACCATCCAACCAGGTTTCAGAGCACAGGAGCCTGTGCTGAGAGAGGAGAGGCCAATTTCCTTCTCTTAAATTTCCTTGAAGTAACTAAGAAATCTTGACTGCCTCTGGGATGGGTTTGGGTTGCTCTGGACCAGTCATAAATTGATTAAGATTTAACCCAATCTCACAAGAACAATTTGTCTTAGTTTAGCTTGTTGTGGTAGCATTGCTAATTCACATCTCTTTCCTTCTTCCTAGCATTATCAATGGCTTTGCTTTACCTCTTAAGGCAGAACACAAACAGTTTCTGGTGAAAGTGTTGATCCCTTTACACACCGTCAGGAGCTTATCACTCTTCCATGCCCAGGTAGAATTTTGTACAACTACTTTTGGAAGCAAAGTGAAGTTTGCAAACCCAGTGTTTCTTTGATACTGATATGTGCTTATTTTGTTGTAACAAAGACATTTTAAAGTTTAAAATACTCCCCCCCAAAATAAAAGTGTGTGTGTGTGTGTGTTCAGTGCATAGGAGACTCGGGAATATTTTTCAAATGAAAGGAGTATTTATGTAGTCATCTTATTTTTTCAGAGAATTTAGATGACTTGCCAGTTCACAAAATTATATATTGAACATGTTGTGTATAGTAATATATGTATGTGGGCTTTTCAGATTTAGATTTTTAGACATGTGTAATCATTTTTGAATGTTTTTGAATATTTTTTCTCAGTCTTATTTTATAATAGTCTATTAAGTTGCCTTTTGCTCCCTCTTCTAGTCATTCACCATATCTTTCTAACTTTCTACACACAAATAAATGCACAGTAAGCAAATCAATATTTTCACATCTATTTTATTTTTAGCCTTCATTACTTTAAAAAGTGTACCCTGTCCTATTATTCCCACTCTAATTCCCATGCTAACACTGTCTTGCATGGTAAGCATGTCACTAGTGGGGAGAGAAATGATCTAGTGGCGTTTTAGTTTTAGTATTTCAAACCACTGGCTCCCCAATCCCCCCAGTGGGAATGTTTTGAGTTTGCATAAAAATGTAACACATTTTTCTGAGCAGTGTTCCTCTTTAAATGTGAAGTTATGTGTTTCGAGGAAAATTAGTCCATATGCTTCTAATTTAGAACACCCTCAAAAAGTTGTTTTCCAAGAGTGGGTTTCTTGTCCAAGAATCCTTACCAGCCCTTTAACAAATCTTGCCTCTAGTTTTTGAAACAGGCTATTACATTGCGTGATCATCTAGAAGAGTTCTTGCCTACTAGTTGAGTTGTAAAACTCATATTTTTCCAGGTCCCAACTGGCAGGGAGAACCTTCTGTGTCTTCCTGAAACTGCTTTAGTTTGCATGTGCCAGTCAGGCAACCAGCAAGGTTTTTAGGAAGAGCCTACTCCTCATAGAACACTCTTCTGGAACCACAGTAAAATGCAGTGCTATCTAGGTTAGCACAGACACAAAGAAAGCCCAGGAGATGTAGTTCAAACTATATGTAGATGAGATACTTTCAGAATATACTGAATATGATGTTTCACTTCTGCTTTTCATTAGCTGGCTATGTCATGTCCCAATATTCTTTTCCTTTTGTTAATGTTAGGCTTAAAAAAATATTGATCCTAGGGAGGAAGGAAGTGAGAGAGAGAGAGAGAGAAAGAGAGAGAGAAAGAGAGAGAGAGAGAGAGAGAGAGAGAGAGAGAGAGAGAGAGAGAGAGAGGGAAACATCATTGTGAGAGAGATATTGTACATCAATCGCTTGCTTCATCCCTGCAACCTAATTATATACCTTGACTGGGATCAAACTCACAGCGTTATTGTGCACTGGACAATGCTCTAACCACTGAGCCACACTAGCCGGGGCTATCCCAGGGTTCTTTTTTTTTTTTTTTTTTTTTTAAATTCCCCTGGAGCCTTATTAGTGCCATTCTTTGATTTGAAAAGTAGCTTTTTACATATATTTTTATTTTGAAAATGAATTGGATGTGAAGTTACTAAAACCAGAATCTGGAAACTTTTTAGGAAGTTTTAATAGTACGTCTTTTGAAACCTTACTATATAGAATTTCTAACTTTGTCCTTCATTTTTATTTCTCCAGCTGGCATATTGCATAGTACAATTTCTGGAGAAAGATCCTTCACTCACAGAACCAGTAAGTACTTTTTTCCATAATTTGGAATTATAGACCACTTTTCATGGAGTGTATATGAAAAATTAAGTGTCATTTGTTTTTCTCCTTTCCATTTTAGGTTATTAGGGGGTTAATGAAATTTTGGCCCAAAACATGTAGTCAGAAAGAGGTAAGTGCTTAATGTCAGTGTGTTAATAGCTTACTAAATAATTGGCTGAATGCCAGGCACCAAGCTAATAAGCATGTATAAAATGAATTCTTTCACTTAATCCTCATTGCAGCTCTGTAAGGCAGGACTGCCAGTGTTCTCATTTTACTGGTTATGAAATTGATGCCTTGAGAAGTTAGGAGCCTGGCTGAGTACCCTAACTATAGGTGGTTAGGCCAGAACCTGCCTTCCTGATTCGTGAACCATGGACTTTTATCCCAGTGCTGCTTAGCCCCATGGAAGCCCGAGCCAGGTCCCAGTCATGTGTCCAACTGTCTGGGCCTCTCTATGTCACCTTCCTAGTGGCCACCTTCATATTGTGGAGGTTTTGCTGTCATTGTGGATAGATGCTAGAGCAAACTGCCCAAATACCCACTTTAAAACATAGTGTGGATGGGATCTTACTATGTACATTCATAAAATGTTACAGAGCTGTTTCAAGTGGCCTGGACTCCTTTGACCTACAATGATTTATTTTATTTATATATATATTTTATATTATATACATATATCTATATCTATATCTATATCTATATCTATATATATATATATATATATATATATATATTTTTTTTTTTTTTCTTTCTTTCTTTCTTAAAAACAAACAAACATATATATAATTTGATGTCAGAGAAGAAGGGGGAGAGAGGAACATCAAAGATGAGAGTGAATCATTGATCGCCTTCCTTCTGCATGTCCCCCATTGGGAATTGAATCGTGACCTTTTGGTTCATAGGTTGACACTTAACCACACCAGTCGAGCTGTACTTAAAAAAAAAATAAATATATATATATATATATTTCAGAGAGGAATGGAGAGTATGAGAGAGATAGAAACATCAATGATTAGAGAGAATCATTGATTAGCTGCCCCCTGCATGCTCCTTACTGGGGATTGAGCCACACCAGGGCAGGTGCCCTGACTGGGAATGGAAACATGACCTCTTGGTTTATAGGTCGATGCTCAACCACTGAACCATGCCAGTTGGGCATGATTTGTACTTTTGCCAAGACCTAACCGAGCATGTGCCATGCAAGGTGGTTGTGGGGGAGTGTCTCTTAACTTGGAAGTGATCCTAGCTGGGTGCCAGATCTGCATCCACTCTCCTGAAAGGTTAGAAATCATGTGAAAATGGCCCAGAAAAGGTCAGCTATTAGTTTTACACTTTGGAAAAATTTTGGGAAAATTGATTGATTGATTGATTGATTGATTGATTTTAGAGAGGACGGGAGAAGGAGAGAGAGAAACATCAGTGATAGAATCATTGATTGTTTGTCTCCTGCCCAACCCCTACTGGGGTTCGAACCTGCAATCTGAGCATATGTCCCTGACCAGAATGGAAAATAGGACTCTTCAGTATGCTGATATTATACCCACTGAGCCAAATCGGCTAGGTCAGAATTTGTATCTTGACAAATGGCAAGAGTCTACAAATCTTGCTTTTAACAGAAATACCCTCCTTTTCAAATCAGTTTTAATTCTCCAAAACCTTGTACGGTTTCAGAAAATCATCTAATTTCTTAATACCTGTTAGGTAAAATTAAAAGTATGTATGCATTGCTACCCAGCTGTATCTTTTTTTTTTTTCTTAATATATTTTATTGATTTTTTTTTACAGAGAGGAAGAGAGAGGGATAGAGAGTTAGAAACATCGATGAGAGAGAATCATCGGTCAACTGCCTCTTGCATGCCCCCTTCTGGGGATGTGCCTGCAACCATGGTACATGCCCTTGACCGGAATTGAACCTGGGACCTTTCAGTCTGCAAGCCGTCGCTCTATCCACTGAGCCAAACTGGTTTAGGCTACTCAGCTGTATCTTAAGATATGAAGAAGGCATCACTATTTTTCATATTTTAATTGCATACTTAATTTTTCTAAGGTAATTATTTTTTTACTAGAGGCCCAATGCACAAAGATTCGTGCAAGAATGGGCCTTCTCCTGGCTGCCAGCACCACCTTTGCTCTGGCTGGAGCTACCTTTCCGCCTTCCCACACTGCCCAGAGGCCCAGAGTGGCTAGGGTGGTGAGGGACACCTGCGTCATATGGTGACGACACAAGTGTCCCACTTCCCTGCCACTCAGCGCCTGTGTATGAAAGTTAATCCACCATCTTTGTTGGGTTATTTTGCATACTCACTCTTGATTGGCTGGTGGGCATCGCAAAGGTATGGTCAGTTTGCCTTTTTCTCTTTTATTAGTATAGTTGCCTAGATAGGTAACTGGTTTTTGTTTCTCTGTCGGTTTTCCATTATACTTAAAACAACTGAATATACTATTGATTTGGCCCCGTTTTGTGATCTAAAAGCAGTTTCTTGAGATACATGGTACTGAGGTCATGAGATTCATTGTGCTCAGTAGTGAACAGTTGTGTGCCTGCGCATGTGTGTAAGCGTGGAGATTGGGTAGAAAATCTTTAAAGGCTCCATGCTTGGGGTAAACCTGTTCATTGGAATCTTTCTGATCCTATGTGTTCTATTAATAGCATATCTTAGGGGAAGGCGAGGGTTGGTCCATGGGCCATATAAGGCCTGTGGAATAATTTGGTCTGGCCCTGTCAAGGCATTAGGTATGAGATAATTAAATGTTTGATCAAATAAAGCAGGCTTATTTTTAAGTTGATTTTGTATGGCCTGAGAATGATATAAATATCCAAATGGCTGTTGGCAGAAAAAAGGTTCCCCACCTCTGTCATAGAGGAACACCTACCACAGATCAGCCTGGACATATTTGGGAAATGCCTGCATGTGCCATTGTGGGCTTTTGTGTATGTATTCAGGACGCCATACCCCCGTTGTTTAAAACATGTGGTTGAGGAAGGAGATAGTTGGGTTGGTATCAATAGAGAGAGAGCCGCACAGGACAGTCCTGTATTGCAGGATTCCTACCGCATTGTCTAAGAGCAGCTGTTCTGTGTAATAGATGTAACACATATTTTTTCCAAAGTAAATAGAATTGTTTTCAATGTCAAGGAGACTTGCTCTCAGCAAGTACCTTCTGGTGAATTCTTTGTGAAATGAACATCTCTCAGCATAATACCTGTGTTCATATATGTTTGGTTTTATGTATAAATTTTTCTTAAAACATTACTAACTCTCTTTAATCTTCACTGTTTTTATGGATTTTAAAAAATGAAATGCCTGACATTTTGTGCTTTGTGTGTTTCTTACAGGTTATGTTTCTTGGGGAGCTGGAAGAAATATTGGATGTGATTGAACCTTCACAATTTGTTAAAATTCAAGAACCTTTGTTTAAACAAATTGCCAAGTGTGTATCTAGCCCCCATTTTCAGGTTAGTACCAGGAGGGCATGAGCCAGAGCAGCCTCTGCAGCATGTATTATTTTGGTAAATTTTTATTTGTATTGAAAAAAATATAATGGACACCAGCTACCTGTTGTTACTTATTTGCTATTTTCTCACATGATAACAATAATTTTAACAATAAGCACCTTTATCTTGAGCACTGCATGCCAGTCACTGTGATGATGCTTTCTGCTCAGTATGACCAACCTGCAAGAAGGGCATTGTGATTTTTACAGACGTGAACGCTAAAGCTCAAAGTGGTAGAATGATTTGTCTCAAGTAAAGTAGCTGAATAAGAGGTGGACTGGTAGGCTTCCTATAGAGCAAGCATGGCATACTCTTGGCCCACAGCCATTTGCCTCATTTATTTGTCCTGTGTTAGCCTTTTAGTTTGACGTGCTTGCTGTAGAGTATAAGAGAATGCTAAATAAAGCCTAAGAGAAAAAGAACACTAATATTTTACTCTATACTAGCTACTTTGCATACATTATTTCTAAACTTCAAATTATCTTATGAGGCTCTCCCAACCCCCATTTTCTAGATGAAAAAAATAAAAATGAGATTCAGAATGATTTGCTTAAGGTCCCAAGTTAATAGGGAGTAAAATCAATAGATATAGCTGCTTTTCTGAACCTTCCTGTGGCACAACTCTGCCTCCTTGTGGCCACTTGGGGAGAATACAGTGCCGGTGAACCTGGGCGTCCTTTTCTCATTGGGGCCCTTGTTGCAGTGATGAGGAACCCACACGCAGGAGGGAAGAGAGTGATCTGGGGTGAATATACATTAGGTTTCATCCTTCTATATCTCACCAGAGGTCCGAATTACAGAGTAGAGAATTGACTCGATATATTGCCTGCTGATTTGAAGAGATTGTTTAGCTTATAGTTGCAGCACAGAAGCACACTGTTAACAGTGGACCTGAGGGACTTCCCCTGCTCTGCCATTATCCTGCACAGTTAGAGACACTGCTGTGGTCTAAAGACATCACAAGTCAGTGATCTTGTGACAATCTTGTGATTGTACTCCCCACACACACTTACCATTATATGAACCATTACATTCGGTAATATACGTCTAGATAAGAAAAATTCAGGCTATTGTGTAGATGTTTTGCATATTACACATGGCTGTGGAGCTCAAACATCTGGTTTGTTTACCTTATTTACTGTTTTCATGAGGATGTTTGGTATAATTAGAGCAAGGAGCAGGGACCTTTTAAAAAATACTTTTATTGATTTCAGAGAGGAAGGAAGAGGAAGAAGGATAGAAACGGTAATGATGAGGCAGAGTCATTGATTGGTGTTTTCTGCACACCCTCTACTAGGGATTGAGCCCACAACCTGGGCATGTGCCCTGACCGGAATCAAACTATGACCTTCTGGTTCATAGGTTATGTTCAACCACTGAGCCACACTGGCTAGGCAGGAACATTTTAATTTTTTTTTTTTAAGACATTGCTCTTTAGAGAGAGAAGAAGGGAGAGGGAGAGAGAAAGTGAAATATCAATATGACAGTGCAACATAGATCAGGTGCCTCCTACAAGCTCCCACTGGGGATCAAACCTATAATTCCCTGGTGTCTGCCCTTGACCAGGAATCGAACTGGCAACTTCCTGGTGCACAGGACAATACTCAACCAATTGAGTCACACCACACAGGCCAGGGCAAGGAGCAGGAGTCTTTTAAAATGAGTGTCACCAGGAAGGCTTAGTGATTCTCAGAAGCTCAGAAAGAAGATGAAGTGTCTCAGTCAGCTGGGGCTGACTAACAAAATTCCACAGACTGGGTGGCTTATGAGCAACAGAAATTCTCACTCACAGTTACGGTGCTGGAAGTCAGACATCAGGGTGCCGGCATGGTTAGGTAAGGGCTCTTTCCTGGGTCATGGGCTGCTTGTGTGCTCACATGGCACAGGGGCTGCTTTGAAAGCCATTGATCCCCCATTCATGAAGGCTCCACTCTTAGGACTTAAGTACTTTCCGAAGACCCCTAGTACCATCATCTTTCAGGGTTAGGATCTCAACACATGAGTTTTGAGGTGACACAAATATTTAGACTGTAGCAGGTTCCATACCAGACTGCGTAGCCTAAACAACAGAAGTCCATTTCTCAGTGCTGTAGGCGGGACAGTCTGGGACTAGAGTGCCGGCGTGACCTGCTTTTGTGAGTCTTGCTTTCTGTCTTGCAGGTGGCCACCTTGTCCCTTGTCCTCACATGGCCTCTCCATGGTGAGTGCATGTGGAAAGAGAGGCGGCATCTCTCTTCTTAGAAGGCCACCAAGCCTGTTCAGTTAGGGCCTTACCCTCATGACCTCACCTCACCTTAATTACCTTCTGTCTCCAAATACACTCACACTGCGGGTAGGGCTTCAACCTAGGAATTTCAGGGAGTGGGGAAATGACACAGTTCGATCCAAAGCAGAAAGAAAGAATTTTAAATGATTCGATAGAACAAAAGAACTGAAAACAAAAGAAGTAAAGAGGTTCTTCTTTATTCACTTGTGTCCATTGCCTCATCCAGCAAACATTTATCCAGTGCCTCAGACACACCATGTGGTTCGTGGTGTCAGACACTCTGTCCATGTTGGTGCCTCTGCCTCCCTCCCGGGATTCCCTTCGGCCTGGAATGGCCTTTCCTTCTTTCATCCTCCAAAGCCCAGCTAGGTGCCACCTCCTGTGTCATCATCCTGCCGCTCTTCCTGCCCCTAACGTCATGGTGGTTCTGTCTGCCCTTCCCCCAGCACTTTATTTCTATCTCTGATGGGACATTTATCACAGTTTACTTGGATAGGCTCGTAGGTCGATTCCTCCTTTCCCCAATGGGATGACAGAGAAAAGAGTTTAAGAGCAGAGACTTTTGAGTCTGTCCCTTGCCAGCCATGTGACCTTGAGCATCAGTTTTCTGACTTGCAAACTAGAAATAATGGTACCTAATCAGTGTTGGTGGTGAGGATTAAATAATATGTATGTGAAACACTTTGCACAGTGCCTTTGATGCACCATTTTATTAAATAAAATTAAAATTACATTTATTTTATATTTTTCATTTAATTTATCTTTATTGTTGAAAGTATTACAGATGTTCCCATTTCCCCCCATTGACCCCTCCACCCCACTGCTACCCTCCCAGGGCGTCACCGCACTACTGCCTGTGTCCATGGGGTAGGCATATATGCATATAAAATTAAAATTAATTAAAAATTTAATTTTTAAATGAAAACAATTTCTTAATCTGATGGAATGAAAGAAACTCCTCTTTTCTCATATAACTACCCTTTATAGGGATTTTAGATTTTTTTTTTTTTTTTTTTTTTTTTTTAGAATTTGGCTTATATTGATTCTTATAGATAACTTTTTAGATTTTTTTAGTTTGTTTTTGGAGGTGTTCTGTTGAATTCTTAGTCAGTTGATAGTGTGGTAGTCAGAAAAAAGGGATCTGAGATAGCAGGCAATCATACATACATCTAGTATCCCCGAGTCCAGAAATGGAGCGACTTTCTCTTGGCTTATTTAGTCCAAAGCGAAGTGACAGAAATGAAGTCTGGAAAGAGTCTGGCACTATACTGGAGTATTAGCTTTTACCATTTGCTAGTCATGTGACTTTGGCTAGGTCACCAGTCTCTCTGAACCTCAGTGTCCTCCTTGGTACAATGGGTACAACAGTAGCTACTCCGCAGGTGGTGGGTCCGATGGCACTTTCCCCTGCAGTGCAGGCACAGCACCTGCCATAGGAGGTGCTTAGCAGAGGGGACTGCTCTGCAGGGAAGGGCAGGTGGTCTTCTCTGCAGCTGCTGACTGTCAGCCACATGCTGTGTGGGTGAAAGAGGTGAGTCTGGGCGGGGGTTAAAGAGGGAGGAAATTATGTGCTTAGGGAAGAGAGGTGTCCGGAGCTTGGGAGCTATGTGGAAAAAATGTGGAATCAGATGAAGTGAGCAGTATGAAAGGAGAATAGAAATAGGTAGGGAAACTTCTTTTTTTTCTCCAAATTGATGAACTACTTTGGAGATTTCTGAAAGACTTTAACCCCACAAAAATGTAGAGCATGATTAATATTTAATTTTACATTTGGCTGAATGATATAAAAATAGTCTTAAAATACTTTAGTTTGGAGATTTATAATTTTTGTCTTTTTCTCTTTTAACATTTTCTTTTTTTTTCCCCTCAAAGGTGGCAGAAAGGGCGCTCTATTATTGGAATAATGAATACATCATGAGTTTGATAGAAGAAAACTCTAATGTCATCCTTCCCATCATGTTTTCCAGTCTGTATAGGATTTCAAAAGAACATTGGAATCCGTAGGTTTTCTATTCCCTCCCTCCCTCCCTCCTCTTTTGCTTAATAAAATGTCTTGAGTGCTTGCTGTGTGCCAGATGCTGTGCTTGTTGCTAAAGAGAGATATGTGAAAAGATAGTCCCTATCTTTAACAAATTCACTGACTGGTTGGCAAGACCCACAAGTAAACAAATACTTTATGAAGCGGTGTTAGAAGTGTGTTCTGTTAACCTAGCCTGTCTGTGAATGGAATAGATGTGGGATGCTCTGGGGCGAGAGGAGGGGTTTGAGGACATCGGTGGAGTGGTGAGGCACCAATTGAATCTTAAAGGAATTTGGCAGGTGGATGGGATGGGGAAGCCCTTTCAGAGTGTGGGTCCATCTGCCACATAAAAAGGAACAAAAATGTAGAAAGCATCTTTCGAGTTCTGAGACCTGGGAGTTTGGGAGGGTTGAACACAGGTGTCTTGGGGAGGTTGCTGGAAGACAGGTTAGAAAGGGGAGTGGGGGCCCCATGGGCCTTCACCACGTGGATGCTAAGGAAACACTAAAGAGTTGTAAAGTGATGTGGTCTGAATTGATTGGCACTTTAGCAATAGCCATTAAAAAAACCCACACGCAATTCAGTCATTATATATGTTCTGTAGGGAAGAAAAGTTTACAGTCTTCAAAAAGAACTTTAATATCTAGGCCTGTGAAAGTTCTGTACTTGAATGGCTTTATATATTTCTCTGAGAATAGAAAGAAAAGTTAATGTGGCGTTAAAAACCATCAGGTAGAATTCAGAATATTAGTAATTAGTTTGGCTTTAAAAGTTTTGCGCACAACTGTAAAATAATTCAGTTTTCATTTTTCAAATTCACAAAATTTTATTAACAAAACGGGTAAAAATGAACTGATAGACAATGAAGTCTCCTTATGCAGATAGTCTCTGGAGAATCTAGAGAGTGATTTTAGCAAGAGTGTTTAACCTCACAGTCACTGTTTTTGGCCCTTTTCCATCGCTGCCCGGAGCATTTGGGGAGGTCATTCCTGTCAGCAGGAGGGAGAATATGTTTTCCTTTTACTAATGGCACAGGGAAGAAGCAACACAGTTTCTTATAAGCATTTTGGAAACATCAAACCCATGGTTTACTTAATACCTGGACTAACTTTTACCAGTGCCCTTTTCAGAGGTATTGGAGCACAGTGCAGAAGGGGAGCGCTGTTGTATAGTTTTGCAAAGGGCAGTGCTATTTAGATCTGGTCTGAAGCTGTTGGGCCCATCATGGGACGGTCTTCGTGTTGCCCAAGAGCGTATTCTTCCTTGCTGAGTATGGAGTACCGTTTTGGCTGTTTAGCTGCATAGTGTCCCACCGCTCATCGCAGCCATCACCAGCTTGCCTGCTACCTTACCGGCAATGTATTGGGTCAGCAAGGGGGTCAAGCTGGTGTGGGTGGACTGATGCAAATCACAACTAGAAACAACTCATATTAAACTGCCCAACTTATATGGGTTTAATATTATATCTAGGATATGAATAATATAAATTACTATTTCCAGTTTTTGAGTTTGATGAATTCTGAATATTATCACTTTAAAAATAAAATTCTATGCAAATTCAGGCCTCTAAGTTGCTTTATTTTTATGCTTGCTTTTTCATTAAATGAAGTTAACAGTTGCCCACAGGGAAGTTTATTCTGGTTACCAATAATTAGAAGGGAAAAATTAGATTTTTCTTTTTTTAATTCTGCCAACCCCTCAGAAAGATGTCTTGCTTTGAACAGTAAAGACAGTAACTCTCAGTTTGGAAATGAACTATATGTCATTTTTAGTTGTTCCACCTAAAAGGGATGGAGATAGTGTGTAATACGTGGAGCTCATTCAAGGTTTTGTGTTTTCTTTCTCTCTCCATCCCATTATGTACGACTAACAGGTCCCTCTTCTCTACTTCCCAGGGCTATCGTGGCATTAGTCTACAATGTATTGAAGGCGTTTATGGAAATGAACAGCACCATGTTTGACGAGCTGACAGCCACATACAAGTCAGATCGCCAGCGGTAACTTTTTAAAGCTTTTTTGTTAGCTGTGTCCAAAACTACTGAGTTCTTTCCTTGCTCTTTGCTGATGTGGCCTAATTGCACTGAAATCCTAAGCCACACAGTTTTATTTATTTATTTATTTACCTTTTCATTTCTGCATGCTCATTAGTTGTGTCTTTATTAGTGCCCTTGGGCAACAAAGCGTTGTTTCGAAAAAGGCTGCTTTCTTCCTTCTCTTCTGTAGTGTTTCTCTTCTACCTCAAGGTTAAGAGCTTGGCCCAGAGCTGGCATTCAGGCCCATATAAGGGAACAATCAGGTAGTTTGCCAGCTGGATCCATTCCTGTCCTGAACTTACTTGAACGACAATTGGGCTGATCTTGTACTTCACTCCAGCATCAGGAGGCATGAGGCACCATTTTGTTTAGCTCTTTGGCTCAGAATTTATTTTCTATTCTAGACCCCAACAGATTTATTGTAGTGAAAAGAACAGGGAGGTGAAGAGTCTGGTGTTTTATAAATATTGAAATGCTTAAGACCAAAAGGGGGCAAAGAACAGGTGTACTCTTTATAATAAATGCTATGGCTGAATAAAGCCTTTATTGATTTCATTTATGTGATTCTTCAGTTTTGTTATTTCTTGTTCAATATGTCCAACTTTCCATTTGGGCTGCTGTAACAAAATACCTCATATGGGTGTTGTATAGGCAGCTTGTAAACAACAGGAATTAATTGCTCACAGTTCTGGAGGCTGGAAGTCCGAGAGCATGGCTGGATGAGGGCCTCTTTCTGGTTCATAGCTGGCACCTCTTCATTGAGTCCTCATTTGGAGGAAGGGGGGCAAGGGATTTCTGTGGTATTGCTCACTAGAGCACTAATCCCATTCATGAGGGGACCATCCTCATGACCCATATCATTATCTTTGGGGATTAGGGTTTCAGTATATGAATTGGGGCGGGGGGCACAAATGTTCAGGCCCTGGCATCACTGGACTTGAAGACATTGAAGGAAGTCTAGGAAGTTTGTTAGTAGTGGGACCTTTGGTTTTTTGCTCTGATCATACAGAAGCAAATGCCACTCTGTATATTATAAAATTGGACCTTAGAGGATCCCAAAGGTGTGTGTGTGTGTGAGTGTTCAGGGCCTTGTGGAATCTCCTGAGCAAAACTCTCTGTGGTTCCCTTGCTTTGCTTTGCCTGAGTTTGAATGTGTTACTTGCATTTTACTGACACAGAGAGCAATGAGGGGAAAGGTTTGGTGGCAGAAGACAAAGCACCATCACACTCATTTAAAAACAATTATGGCAAGTGTTTACCTGTAGACAGAAGAGGTTGAGATTTTTAATAAAATAATGTAAATACTAATTATGGGATATGTTGGATCATACTTGTAATTAAAAGAACTTTTAATTTATTATATTTACAGTTTTTGCAAATCACAGAATTTATAATAACTTTTCTTGTCCCCAACTTAAAATGTCCTTGGTTAATTCTTACCTTTTTAGAAAATTTGTCTAATTTAAATAATTATTTAAATAAAGGAAGTAAAGTGCACATTCATGCTATGATATACCATTAAAACGTATGTTGTATTGTACATAATCTTCCTTTTTTTTTTTTTTTTAACTAATAGCTTATTATCGCAGTTGAATAAGGATTAAAATGTAGAATCCCATTAACAGTATTAAAGACTTTATTTCTAAAACTAGAGGCCCAGTGCACAGATTAGTGCACTGGTGGGTCTCTGGGCCTGGCCTGTGGGTATCTAGCCGAAACCAGCTCTCCAACATCCCCCAAGGGATCCTGGATTGCGAGAGGGCACAGGCCAGGCTGAGGAATATTGTACATGCCTGTGCAAGAATACATGCACAGGCCTGTGCAAGAATACATGCGCCAGGCCTCTAGTATGCATATAAGATCTTTGGTTAATCTATTCTCACCCTCCCTCTCGCATCAGTCTGTTCCATGTTTCCATGCCTGTTCATTGAGCGTCTTCCCCCTGGTGGTCAGTGCATGTCATAGTGAACGGTCAAATGGTCAAACAGTCAGTTGCTTAGAGTTTTATACATATAGATATAGATATTGAAATTGAAGTAAATTCATATTTATTGAACTTCAAAAATAAACTGTTTATTGATCACTTAATATTTAAACCAGACAAACTCTTTAAAAAGATAAGAATTAACCAAGGGTATCTGGAATAGACACTGTGAAGTTGATTCTGATAATCTGATACATTAAAGTAATAGGACTTTCTTATTGAGAGAAGGATTATTTTTAAGCAAGGGTAATGTTTTGTCCAATGAACAGTAGAAGGTTAAATGGAATAGATGGAGACATTGGTTTCTCCATAGATATAGATTAGGAAAAGAGAATAAAGATATTTATTTGGTACTATTAGAGAAGAACTGAATGAAGGATTTCACTTCTAGATGGCAAGACACTAGTAATTGTTTCAGTTCAAATAAAATTTTAAGTATTGCAAGTCTGAAATCGTGTATGGAATAAGTAACACTGTTAGGTACACATGCCAACATTAGTGCTATGTAAAATTGAAATTGGGAGAGAATTTGACAGTATCCTAGCTGACAACATGGTTATATTTTTAAAACTTCCTCCTACAGGTAGAGAGAAAAGTGGGAACTGCTTAGAATTTTTGAAGATAAAGTTATCAGAAAAAAAGATTTATGATAGCTCAGCACAAAGTTCCCCTGGAAAAAAAGCCCCACAGGACAGATGGCACTGAATGCCATAAAGCTTTGAGCAAAGATATGAATGAAACTCTTCAGTAATAAGATGAATGTTTTTATGATGTCTGTTCTTAATTTAAACTGTGAATTAGGGCAGTCTGAACCTTATGTATATTTAAATTGTTTTTTAGTTGAATAAAGATACTAAGGCCTTGTCTATCAATTTCTTCTCCCTCTTCCTCCAAATTAAAGGTCATATTTTTTGAAACCAGCAGGATCTACAGAATTGATTTAAATGTACTCAAATCAGTATTCCCTGATAACATTTATTTATAATAGATTTAATATTATTCTTAAAATATACTGAGAAACCAAAAAAGATAATTTACCAAACAGCTTGCTTTTACAGTTAAGAATCTGGAATTCATAATGTGATTGAAGGATTATTTAATCTTGTCCTATACATATAAATTTTCAGGGTCAAAATTACCCTACAGGTAATTGTTTGAAAATTATGCCCTCTGAAATTCATTTTAGGATAACAGATACATATAAATGATTCTCATTTTTGTTTCTCAGTAACTTTGAAGTTAATATGCTTTATTAAGTATAAAGGAGTGTTAAAGTAAAACCGCCCTAGCTGGTTCTGACTCAGTGGTCAATGCATTGGCCCAAAGACGGGAGGGTTGCGGGTTCTATGCTGGTTGGGGCACATGTGGGGGGCAACCAATTGAAGTGTCTCTCACATCGATGTTTCTCTTTCTCTGTCTCTCCCCCTTCCTTCCATTTTCTAAAAATCAATGGAAAAAATATCCTCGGGTGAGGATTAACAACAATAAAAGTTGTCATCTTCTAAGGAACTTGTCATGTTCATTAATACTACTTTGTGTCTAAATAAGTGTAAAAAAAAGAAGAAAAAAAAAAAAGAGCAAGAGAGAGAAAAACTAAGAAGAAACACCCATAAACTTAATGCCAAGCTTTTTAAAGACCTTTTAAAACATACATGGGAAAAATAATGTTCAAGGGTCAGTTATTGATGAATAATGTCTTTAAACCTCCCCAGGTGTTTACTTTATATTTTGTTTCTTCCCCAGTGAGAAAAAGAAAGAAAAGGAGCGTGAGGAATTATGGAAAAAACTGGAGGATCTGGAGTTGAAGAGAGGTCTTAGACGTGATGGGATAATTCCAACTTAACAAAAACAATGGCAGCAACATTACTAACCTGTGGAGTCACACATTTTATGTAGTAGAAGATGGAGCAACAGTTTTCTGTATTGTGCAACTTTACAGTAGATTTCACATTTGTTTCATTATTACAACAGCACTGTATATACCTGTCTCTAAGTAAAGGAAAAAAAAAAAATAAGGACTTCAAAGTTTGGACAGTAGATGGACTTCTCAGAACCTTGCAAACATAATCATTGTTCTTAACCCTTTAAAAAAAAAAAAAAGCAGTTTTCAGAGACCTGTTAATGAAATTGCTGTTAAAATTCCATTGTCGAGGTTCCTTATTTATCATTAGCAGAGAGTATGAAACAAATCTCAAATGTGAACAATCTTAAATTTAGCTTGTCTTTCTGCTAAGCTGTTAAATGTATTTATAGGAAAGGAAGAAGAAAAAAAAAAGACTGTCATTTCCATATAGGTTTGTATTACACCCTCTTCTGGATAACTTGACTGTAACTTAACATCCTTTCCTTTTGCACATCTTCGTGAGTTGAATGTCTATGCGGAATGGGGCCGTGAGGTCTGAAGGTCCCAGGTGAAAGTTTTGCTTACTGGAGTGCACATCTTTCCGGTAGCCAGGTAGTCCTGGTACTCCTTTAGGTTTTAAATTTGGAGTAAAAGAGAAGAGGTGATAAACATAGTAGGGAAGGGAATTTTGGATTCATGAAGGAGTTTATGGTGAATCCAAATCAATGTCTTGAATCCTTTGAAAACAGGCACTGGGACATCATAGGCTTCAGTACCTGAGCAGTATTAATTGCGTACATCATTGAACACACATACCAGAGATGTTTTAGAAATGTCAGAAAACATCCTTTGGAGCATTTTGAAATCAGAAAGACAGACACTAAACAGTACAACCATGAAATTGATCGCCAGGATTGCGGATCTAATTGGAAATAGAGTTGAGCAAACAGCTTGGACTGTTTGGAGTTGTTGCCTTACTTTTTAATATGTATTTATAAAGTATTCCAGCAAAAGAGGATGTAGCCTCTGGGGAAAAACATGTTACTGTGTTTTTTGTAGATTCTCCTTCTATATCTCATCACAGCGCCAGCCCTGTTTTTAGCCAGAAAGGATTCAGGATAAACATTATTATGCATTCTGAATTGGATGCGTATTCCTAACTACTGTATTTGTTACCAAAAGTGGTTCTACAGATGCTACTGACAAAAATCTGGAAATTCCTAATGTCCTGAGTATTAATAATAAAGTTTAAAAATGCTTTTATATCAAAGGTGCATTGTGACCAAATTGTTTAAGAAAAAACAAAAACAAAACAAAATCTAGGGCTGTATTATAGCTATATTTTATTGGCTCTCTGCTTTGTATTTAAAAGAGGACTCTTAACATCTTGGAGAGAGAAAAATACTGATAAAACTGTGTACAGTATGTACTTACCTATTGTGGTTGCATTCTTCTGTACTGAAAGATATGTGTTTGGGGCATATTTCCAGGTTTCATTTGCTTGTTATGGACATAGCAGCAGTGAGTTGATAATCTAAACCATCACTCCAGCAGTCTTCATGGCATAGAGCTGATTCTGTTCATGTGTTGAATTGTCATAGCAGCAAACATGAACATATGAACTGTTGCTCTTAGTAGAAATATAATATCAATATGGGCTTGTATATTTTCTTCCTTCCATTTAAATATAGTAGAATATGCAGTTATCTTGTTTCCAAGAAAAAGAGAAAAAAAAAAAAGGTGGCTGACCTTTCTTCCTTATTACGTGTTTCAGGATTATCAGGTCACAGTGTGTGTGTAAAAGTCAGCTAATTATGAATACCGTCTCTCAACAACTTTGCAAAACAAATGAAACTTGGCATTGAGAATTCTGAGAAAGAACCAGCAGTAAAATAGTCATATGCAACACCAAACATAACATGGTTTGATGAAATTCATAGGTTTTCTTTTTAAAAAAGAACATTCATGGGGATTCAATGTAAAATTGGCAGAGGCTGCCAAAGATGAAACAACTTCCTATCAGAGTGCTGAAGCAAAGGTGCAAGTTCAACAGCTAAAGATAAAAAATAAATTTATAACAAATCCTCTTCGATTTTAGCTCGTTAGTTTTGACTCTGCATTACATTTAGTTTTGACAGTCTAAACTTTTGTTTGCCATTAATTCATCTTTTAGGATAATGGACATTAAAATCCCAGGTTTATGAAATATCTCTGCACATTAGAATGAAATGCAGTAATTTGAAATGAGAAAGACGAGGCTCCTATTTTGCACCTTACCCTGTCCTCAGTTAAGGTGAGAACTACACAGTTATCCTTGATGTCAGTTTATGTGTTGATTATTCCATACTGAGGAGAATAAAGCCAGATTTTAGACATACTCAAAGAAGCAATTATAAATAATGTCTAAAATTCATAGGGCAACTTCTGAGAAGAAATACTGTCTTTTCTTTTTAATTGAAAGTGACAGTGTGACACTTGTCATGTTGTGTCCAGTGACACAGAGTAACTGAGGTTGTCTGACTGTTGCACCATGTGACATATTTAAGGACATACTTGCTGCATTTACAGCAGCCCTCTCTGTCCTTTCCCACATTTCTCCTGTTGCTGCGACTTGAGCTCATTGTGACAAATGCATCTTTGTGTTACATTTGTTTGCTTCATAATTTCCAGAATTATATATAAATCTATTTTTAAAATAGCAAATATTGTAGTTAGTGAGTGATGATCACTCCAGACTTATCCCTACCATATTGGTTTCAGGGGTAGGATTAAGAGTGTCTTTGGAAGAAAAAAACCCTGTGGTTTAGAGTGATGCTGAGGCCTTAGGTTGTGGGCCTAGAAAACCCATGTGAGTGAACTGTCCCCTCTCATCCTTTGAATCGAGCATGCATTCCTTTTCTCATTGTGCAAGTGGCCCCGTTGTTTTCCTTCAGTGTTGAGTTTTTGTCCTTTTAAATTTTATTCTATTTTGCTCTCCCTAACATCTGACTGTTTTTTTTTTAATAAAATAAAATAAAAAATAAAAAAGTGAGAAATAATACCCTGATGCCGCTGGATACTCACAAGCAGGGTTATGCTCCTTCATCTTGGGCTCGCTTGCCTAAAGGGAAGGGTTTAAATTATTTTGTACCTCCTCCTATGCGTGGGACAGTCCAGGGTGCAGAGCCAGGAACTGCTTGTAATTGCACCTGCTATACTAAAACGTATAGCCCTAGGCTCAATCACACTATGGAAAAAAAAAAAAGTATATTTAGAGCTTTAAAAGCTTTTTTATTTTTTTGTGGGGATGGGGAGGGTGGGAAAGGGAAAATGTATGGATGTTATTGGCATTCTTAAGTGTTCAGAGTTATGTTCCTCTCCCCTCCCCTCCCCACACACACTTTAATCAAATGTACCGACCTGGTCCAGGAAATGAAAAGAATCTCTCTTGATGCTATTACCAATGTTATCACCAAGTGACAGTCACCTATAGCAAAAAGGTGGCACCAGACATGATCGATGATGTTTAATTTGCACATCAATATTTTTATTTTTATATTCTGGCTCAGCTGCTTTCTCTGAGTGGAGTTAAGGAATGAGCCACAAAGGATTTTTGTAGTAGGTATATTGGCAATGCATTTTATATTTCTCAGTATTTAATTTTGAAAATCGAAAAGGATTGTGCATCTTGAGAGAAAGTTGAGCAAATTTCGAACCAGTGGAATGTTCACTTGTGCTGCTGCATATGCACGACAGCAGCAGTATCTCTTGGAAATAAACATCCCATATTACTATGTCTATGAATATAGGTTTCCTTTTCTTCTCTTTCTCCCTCCCTCCCCCTTCTTCTCTCTCCTTTTTCTCCCCCCACCCTTTTTTTTTTTTTTTTTTTTAAAGAAATCACTTATTGTAAATAAGTTGTAATCCAAACCTCATGTATCAGTGAGGAACTTTCAAATATAAATATTACCAATACATCTTCTGGTTGTTGTCTGATTTTTGATTGAGGGATATAAGAATGACATGCCCATTGCTTTTGGTTTGAGGATTTCACTTTAGCTCCATAAACTTTTTGGTGTTTTAGTATTTCATTGTTTTAGCAGGAGAGGGCAGCAAAAGTTCATTTTTCCTGTTAGAAATGCTGTGGTTCATGATTGATCTTGTGTGTGTGTGTGTGTGTGTGTGTGTGTGTGTGTATGTGTGTGTGTGTATGAACATCTGTTTGTGGGCAGAGGTAGAAATGAAACATTTTTAAGATGAAAAGTTACATATGAAAATGATGAACTGGTTCAACCAGATGGCCAAGACTTCTTATCCACATCAAAGTTAAAATCCACAAAACAATCTTTCAGCTCGGGCTCAAATGTGCTGCTTTTCAAACACAACAAAAGGCAAGTGGAGTCTTAAACACTTGGAACCTAAAATGTCTTTCTTTGAAAATGATTTTCTTTCTTCAAAGTGATAACAGAAGCAAAAATGAAGGTGCTCCCAAAGAGAATGTAACCCCCCCTTGGGCGGCCGTGTGAGAGCTTCTGTGCTGTGGGTGCCTCCGAATAAAGAAGCGCGAAGAGTTCCAGGCTCCTGGCTGTGTGTGTGTTTCTGACCTCTGGCCTCGTGAACCACATAAATAATAGCTTTGACCAACTTGCCTGTGAAACGGTGGGGTTGGTTTGCTCACACTTTCATCTAGAGAAAATCAGGAGCGGTCCGGTGCCTTGCTGTATAACAAACTGCTCCAAAACTTAGTGGCAGAACCCAAGTTATTGTTTGTTCACCAGTGTACCGTTTGGCCAGAACTTGGTAAGCTCGTCTAGTCTCTGTTCCTTGAGCATCAACTTGGGTTTAGTGGAGTTGGAGAATTACAACTTCCAACACGGCTCACTCACACGGCTGGCATGTGGTGCTGGCTGCTGGTTTGGGGTTCATTCAGTCAGATGCCTTGGTTCATGACGTACTAATGGGGCTCCTTCACAGAATGACCACTGGTTTCTAAGAAAAATTGTTCTAAGAGCCCGGCCAGTGTGGTTCAGTAGTTGAGCATTGGCCTGTGAATCAGGAGGTCATAGTTCCATTCCTGGTCAGGGCACATGCCTGGGTTGCGGGCTTGATCCCCGCCTTGTGTGTGTGGGTGGCATACAGGCAGCAGCTAATCGATGATTCTCATCATTGATATTTCCAACCCTTCCTCTCTGAAATCAATAATATATATTAGAGGCCTGGTGTGTGAAATTCTTGCACTCAGGAAGGGGGTGGGCGGGGGGAGCATCAGCCTGCCCTGTGTCCTCTCGCAGGCCGGGAGCTCTCAGGAGATGTTTGACTGATGGCTTAATCCTGCTCCCCTCAGGGAGCCATCAGCTGGACATCCTTAGTGCTGCCAGAGGTAGGAGAGCTCCTGCCACCACTGCTGCATTTGCCAGCCTTGAGCCCGGCTTCTGGCTGATCAGCACTCTCCCTGTGGGATTGGCTAATACTGGCTCTCCAACATCCCTGAGGGATCCTGGATTGTGAGAGGGTTCAGGCCAGCCGAGGGACCCCACAGGTGCACAGTCGAAGCGGGGGAGACACAGGAGGTTGGTCAGCTAGGGAGGGACCATGGGAAGGCACCAGGGGCTGTCTGGCCCATCTCTCTCAGTCCCAATTTGCTGGACCCCAGCAGCAAGCTAACGTACTGGTTGGAGCATCTGCCTCCTGGTGGTCAGTACACATCATAGCAACTGGTCAACTGTCTGCCCCTGATGGTCAGTGCATGTCATAGTGAGTTGAGTGGCCTGAGCCTATCATTAGCATATTATGCTTTGATTGGTTGAACGTCCGACTGACCTGACATTTAGCATAATAGGCTTTTATTATATAGGATATATACACTGAGTGGCCTGATTATTATGACTTCCTGACATTTGTAGGCAAATTAGCTGTACAATGCATCATAGTGGATATGGAAGCCAAAGGCCTGTTCAAACACCTTTGCTGTCTGCAGTTACCAAGATAAAATGTCTCCAATTCGCACAAGAACACAGGATTGGACAGTTGAGCATTGGAAAAAAGTCATGGGGTCTGATGAATCACATTTCCAGTTGCATCATGCAGAGGGCAGAGTGAGAATTTGGTGGAAATGGCATGAAAGCATGCATCCCACATGCATGAGTACAACCCTTCAAGCTGGTGGGGGCAGTGTTATGGTTTGGGGAATGTCTTCCTGACATGATTTGGGCCCTTTAATTCATGTGGAACAATGTCTGAGTAGCACAACATACCTAAGTATTGTTGCTGATCAAGTTCATCCTATCATATTGCTATCCCAATGGAGATGGCTTCTTCCAACAAGACAATGGGTCATGTCACAGTGCTCGTATTGTGCATGAGAGAGCATGAGAGAGGCTTTACCTTGTGTAGGTGGCCCCACAATCACCAGATCTCAATCCAATTGAGCGTTTGTAAGACGAAGTTAAAAGAGCCATCTGGCAGCTGGTTCCACAACTATCAAATCTCACAGAACTGAAGGTCTCCTGGAAGGTCTCCCAGTCTAATTAGCATATTACTCTTTTATTAATATAGATAGAAGCCTGTTGCATGGTTGGGGGTTGACTGGTTTGCCCTGACACGTGTCCCAGGGTGGGTTTCTCCCTGGGGTGCCTGGCCAGCCTGGGTGAGGGGTTGACAGCTGTTTGCAGCCTGGCAACGGCCCCTGGTGACCCAAGCTCCCAGCTCCTCTTTTTCTTTTTTCAGCGCCTCCTTGAGTGGAGGCCAGGGTCGGCTGGAAGCAAGTATCTAGGATTTATTTATCTTCTATAATTGAAACTGTAGCTTTGAGCAGAGGCTAGGGCTGGCCAGGGTGGGCAGGAAGCTTGGCTTCCTCCATTGCTGGGGGCAACCCAAGCCTTCTGCTCACTCCAGTTCTGTGGCTGCTGCCATCTTGCTTGTGTTAATTTGCATACTCGCTCTGATTGGCTGGTGGGCATAGCAGAGGTATGGTAAATTTTGCATGTTTCTCTTAGATAGGATAATGGAGGCAAAGTAAATATACAGTTCATTTCTATTTTCGAGAGTAAAAAAAATATTTCATTGATTTTTGCAGAGAGGAAGGGAGAAGGATAGAGAGTTAAAAACATCAGTGAGAGAGAAATATTGATCACCTGCACACCCCATTCTGAGGATGTGCCTGCAACCAAGGTACATGTCTTTGACCGGAATCAAACCTGGGACCCTTCAGTCCACAGATAGACACTCTATCCACTGAGCTAAACCAGTTAGGGCCTGAGATTTTTGTATAATGCTGTGTCCAGGGGATTTTTAGTAGATCAAGTTCACTTTAGACTTTTTTTAAACATACTAAACTATGGAATAGCAATGGCAAGTAAAATCTGATTTATTAATGACATATGTTCACTGTATAATTTATTCTTGAAAAGGCAGAGTACAGAAAACAAGCTTGATAGCTCTCCAACCTAAAAGTCCACTACAAGACTTGTATTCATTGATTGATCAGACCAGTGTTATTGATTGGCTCTGTTCATATTCTTGCCCGTTATATGATGCTCAGATTTTCTGTCTTTTTAGTCATTTAATTTAGTTTACTTCTTTTAAAAATATAGTATTAATTGACCAATTTGGAGTCAATCTTGGTGGATGCTACATTCTAGGAGGCCTAGAACCAGGATGGATATCAGCACAGCCCTCTTCACCCTCGCTAAAGCTCTTAAGGTAAGATGTGTCTGGCCAGGATCCCAAGGTGCAGACCATGGACTTGGAAAGCAGAAGCCCATGGGATCACTATTTGTCAGCTGTGTGACTTTGTGAAAGGTTCTTGATCTCAGCCTCAGTTTCATTAGTAAAATACAGGTAAAAATGGTAGTGTATAGTATTATATTTTTTTAATATAGTATTATATTTTTGTGTTAATTTGTGCAATTAACACAAAGCCTGGCACATGGTAACCTGCAATTAATATAATTACCTGTGATAAATGCTTATTTTATTAGTTGTAATTTACAGAGGTGGCTTAAATATAAATGAATAATTATAATAACTAACCCTTAGCAAATATTATATGCCTTGTATGTGTTAAGTAGTTTCCTTTAGCCATTAAGTTTTCACAACAATGCTGGGGTAGAAGTGCTCCTCTCTAAGACAACTGAGGTTCTACCAAACATTGAACCAAGATTCTGACTCCAGTTTGCTCTGAACAGTAATCACTACACAGCAGGATGACTGCTTCTGAGTACACACATCAAATTTAAAAAATATATATATTTTATTGATTTTTTTACAGAGAGGAAGAGAGATGGATAGAAAGAAACATTGATGAGAGAATTATGGATCACCTGCCTCCTGAACACCCCCTACTGGGGATGTGCCTGCAACCAAGGTAGATGCCCTTGACTGGAATCAAACCTAGGACCTTTCAGTCCGCAGGCTGATGCTCTATCCACCGAGCCAAACCAGTTTCGGCCACACATCAAATTTTATTCCCCACAATGTAGAAGACTGAAATTTACTCCCTTCTTGCAAGTAAGAACCGTATTTCATTCGTCCTTGCATTTTCATCCACAAATCTATCCATTCTAGGAGTCCCCTCAAACCTCTGCATCACACTCTTCAAGTCATTTATCCCAATCTCATCCCACTTTAACTTAACACACACACACACACACCAAGTACTGGTGATTATGTGGATAAACAAACCTTTGTGTGCTGTTAATAGGAATGTAAAATGGTAAAACCACCATGGAAGTCATTATGGCAGTTCCTCAAAAAATAAAAATAGAATTACCATATGATCTAGCAATTCCAGTTCTGGGTATAAACCCAAAAGAAGTGAAAGCAGGATCCCAAAGAGATTTGTACACCCATGCTGATAGCATCATTATGCACAATGGCTAAAACATGGAGTGTCCCATGTATGTAGTCAATGAATGGATAAGCAAACATATAGACACTATTGAATATTATTCAACCTCAAAAAAGAATGAAATTCTGA